TACCCCCTCGGCCTCGGCGCTCCTGTGGTCCATCCCCGCTCCGATGGTCCGTGCCCACTCCTATAGTCTGTCCCTATAGTTTGCCCCCAATCCTATAGTCTGTGCCCGCTCGGATACTCCATCCATGCTCTGATGGTCCATGCCTGCTCCTATAGTCTGTCCCCAATCCTAAAGTTTGTCCCCACTCCTTCCCGGTGTCTCCATGCTCTGATGGTCTCCCTGCTCTGTCCATGCTCTGATGGTCCGTGCCTGCTCCTATAGTCTGTCCCGAGTCCTATAGCTTGTCCCCAATCCTATAGTCTGTGCCCATTCCAATAGTCCGTCCATGCTCTGATGGTCCATCCCTGCTCTGTCCATGCTCTGATGGTCCGTGCCTGCTCCTATAGTCTGTCCCGAGTCCTATAGCTTGTCCCCAATCCTATAGTCTGTGCCATTCCAAAAGTCCGTCCATGCTCTGATGGTCCATGCCTGCTCCTATAGTCTGTCCCCAGTCCTATAGCTTGTCCCCAATCCTATAGGCTGTCCATGCTCTGATGGTCCACCCCTGCTCCGTCCATGCTCTGATGGTCCATCCCTGCTCCTAAGTTTGTTCCCAATCCTATAGTCTGTGCCCACTCCGATAGTCCGTCCATGCTCTGATGGCCCATCCCTGCTCCTATAGTTTGTCCCCAATCCTAAAGTCTGTGCCTGCTCCAATAGTCCATCCCTGCTGTGATGGCCCATCCCTGCTCCTATAGTCCGTCCCCACTCCTATAGTCTGTCCATGCTCCAACAGTCCATGCCCACTCCTACAGTTTGTCCCCAGTCACGGTCCCAACCCAGCCATGTCCTGGGCTCACGGCACCGGCCAGACTCTGCTTCCCAGGTTCTCAGCCAGCCGCTGTCGCGGGGGGATTTCTCACCGCAGCCAATACGCAAACCTGACGTTAGCAGCCCTCGCGTTCCCCTTCCCGCAGGTGAGCGGCACGCCGTGCTACACGCGGCCACGCGTTTTCCTTTCCCAAGAACCGTTCCCAGGGGCCGGAACAGGCTGCAGCTGGATCTGGGCTCCCCACGCGGCGCGGTCTGGCCAGCTGGCGGCCAAGGGAGACCGGGTCTGGGACATCGCTTCACTTATTTCTAAGAAATTGAGTACTGGCTTCCATTCAGCTTGTGCAATTACACAGGGAGCACTGCAGCTTCCCTGCGCTTTTTAACCAGGCAAGCGCTGGTTCTCCAGCAGCTCGGACTGGGGGTTGTGCGGTGCCGCTCCGAATTACATCTGCCTGGGAAGCGCAGGCCCTGCGCGGGGACTCGCTGGCCCACCAGCATCTGCTGCTTCTGGTGCTCAGCTGGGGTAAAAGCCTGAAAATTGGGAACTGCCGTTTCTCGGGGCAGATAGCACTGTTGGCAGCACCTAGAGGTCTTGTCCGGAGACGGAGCGAGGCGGAAAGGGGGCTGAGCGCCCGCCAGGAGGGTTAACGCAGCCTCAGAAACACGACTGTCACATTCGCTAAGCACCGCAGCTCTCCACCCTGGGCACGGGCTGGGGATAAGACGAAACAAGCAGGCATTAAAAACATTACTCAGCGTTTGGCTGCACAAGCCGGAGGATCTGAGAGTCGCTTCCGGGCGGGCTGGGCAGGTCCCGCTGCGCCGCGCTGGGCTGATCTCAGCCGCTGGCAACGCGTCCGGCTGAAGCCTGGCGCAGCTTGAGAGGTTCGCTGCAAGCGTCTCTCTCCGCGTGCAAGCGAAGGGCACCGGGTTTTGGGCATGTACGTGACCGGTTGCTGCCGCCAGCAC